TTTCTAGACAATCCTAGATCTGCAATATAAGATTGCACATTTTCATTAGTGCGTTTGTCTTGCAAAATGTTACCACTATGAAAATCCGCATGAACGTAATTTGCTCTGTGAACGTTATCTAACTCATCTGAAATTTCATAAAGCATTTGTAGTTTACTCCGCCACGTAAGTTCACTAAAATTCTTTCTTATATATTTATAAAGACTACCATCACTTGCATGCTGATTAAAAAGCAATTTTTAGAAGCAGATAATGTAGCAAAAGAATTGCCAATTATTTCGCCAAAACATCCCGACGTTATGTTTACCAGCAAAATAATCTATACACAAAAAATATCAGATGCAATTAATGCTATTAAAGGTATTTGTTTTAAAAATATAATTTATTGAAAATTATGTTTTATTTAAAATAATTGTTTTATATATTAGAAACTTTACCAAGTAAATCTATCAATACGGTTGAAATTTCTACTGGTAAGTATTAAATTTAATTTTTAATATTTATATTTAATAAATTTACTATATATATTAAAATTTAGATTATTAACTATGTTTAACAATTAGGGCGTTGTTTTAGGGCGACCCGTCGCCATGGCGACCCCGTGATCGACCAATCAAAATCGATCACGTGAGTCACGTGTTCGCCGATTTGGGGACCGTCTACGGACACGTACGTACGTACGTACCAATTGCACGTACCGAACTTTAGGGTTAGTATATTTGCACGTGATATGTTTTAAATTTATAATAGGTACGTGCACAATCACGTGAATTGGTACGTGTCCGTAGACGGTCCGGGAAAAATATGATTTTTGACGAAACGTGCCGTTCGTTTTGAATTTTCCCGTTACACCTGATTTTGAACCCCTTGAATGTGTGCGCAGATTGCCTGAGCTACGAATTAGATTTCAAGATCAGTTGCAACGTAACACTATCAAGAAAATTCAAAACAAATGTTCGTTTCGCTTACTTCTCGTAATTCTACATAAGAAATCACTTTTGGGGCTCTAACAAAAAAGGTTTTCGTTGGGCAATTTTACTATGCAAACTACCCTTCTCTAGCCCATAACACTAACCCTAACACTGAAATGAACGAACTTTAAAGAATTTGTGCTGCGCCATTACCCAAAAGATAATATTCGGGCATATAGCATTTACCATAATACGTTATATTTCTAAGTTTGGGTTTGCTTAATGAGTATTAAATCCTTTATCAATAACTTTCGAATAGTCCGAATTTACATGTTATACATGGTCCTGCGTGGCATCGCATGTCGCGCAGCTAGCCTAATTTAATAATTATATGTAGAATTGCACTCTAAAATTAGATACACAAATATAGAAGGTCCTCAATATCGGGTTCCTAGAAAAGAAAGTTAAATACTGTCAAACATTTGACATCTTGTGGTGATCTTGCTAAAGAGGTTAAAAAATGATGTAATGTTTGTATAAAAATAATAGAACATCCGATTTTAAAAAATTTAACAATTTTAACATTTAGATCATGGAAACTAAAGAAAAGCAAAAAAGAACTGCTATTTCTTATAGTTTAAAAAAAGAAATCTGTTTGTTTCATCAAAAAAATCCTAATAAAACCCAAAGTGATATTAAAGATGAGTTTAATTCAAAGTATCAATTAAATTTGGATAGATCTACGATATCTAAGATTTTATCTAATAAGGAAAAATGGATAAATCTTACGCCTAATGAGACCGACAACATTATTTTTCGTAAGAGTAGAGTTAAGCATCCAAGTTTAGAAAAGGCTCTTAGTATTTGGGTTAACCAAGTAATAGTATCGGGGTTATCAGTTTCAGAAGCTTTAATTTCTGAAAAGGCTCGTTATTTTGCGACGATTATGGGTATATCCGAAGAAGATATGAAATTTTCTAACGGTTGGTTAAATGGATTCAAACAAAGAAATAATTTAAAGGTGCATAAAATACACGGAGAGGCCAATGATGCGCCACTTGAATTATTACCAAATATGCGAGCCGAATTAAGAACTTTAATTGCAAAGTATCGACCTGAAGATGTATTTAACGCTGATGAGACAGGGTTATTTTTTAGGATGGAACCCAATCAAACCTTATCATCTGGCCCCGTCACTGGAAAAAAAAAGGTGATAAAAGTTTCGCTAATAATTTTATAATAGGATGATTTTAACACTTATAAAGAGGTGAAATTCACCAGGCATGCCATTTTTTTAAAAATGGCTTTATCGATTAGTATTTGGAATTAGGTCAGTATCCTAAAAACCTTTAACCTAATTCCTAATTCTAATCTTGAAGCTAAGAATAATAATAACACTGGTGAATTTCATTTTGATGATTTCTAAATAAATTTGCCAAGTTCATATTTAACATTAATTTTTTTAGGATAAAAATCGGCTAACAGTAATGTTAACAGTAAATTCTACGGGTACAGAAAAACTCAAGCCTCTTGTCATCGGTAAATCTAGTAACCCACGTTGCTTTAAAAAGGTTAAGAATCGTGCCGCATTACCTGTAACATATAAAGATAACGAAAAGGCATGGATGAAGTATGACATTTTCGAAAAATGGGTAAAAGATCTAAACTATAAATTTCGAGTCGAAGATAGGAGAGTCTTATTACTAGTTGATAATGCGGCATCCCATTTTAAGCGACGTGAAAAAAAGAAAAAGAACAAAACTGATAGCCATGTAAGTTATCTTAGATTATTTATTTTTTATCTTTATATTTTTTTTTTTTTAAAAAAAAAAACTTTATTAAATAAGATCTTTTATGACCGACAAAAAGAGCGGTGCAACTGACAATAAGAATTCTAAGCGTGGTCGTGGACGTGGTCGTGGTCGTGGACATGGTCGTGGACGTGGACGTGGACGCATTCGTGGTTGTAGTCGTGAACCTAATGAATATAGCTCTAGCAATAGTAAAACTGATGATACGGATATTAGTTATAGTGAAACAGATAACATGAACATTGGCGATAGTAGTTATAAGTATAGTATTTCTTATGATGTTATAATAATCGATGGCATATCTTTATTGTTATTTATACTTTTCAGATCTTTCTATTTGTGTTATCCTAAGAACAACGTAAAAGGGGCTAATCCAATCTTATCTCCTTAGTTCCTATAGTTATGGCATTTCTTCCAGTCGTAACCGTAGCATTTCTCCCAGTAATGACAATTGCAATAGGTAATTAGTACTTTTCAAATTTCTCTAATTATTCAATAATTAAAATAAAAATTATTAACCTTACTTTATTCTTATTTTCTAGCCGTGGTCGTGATAATTTCATTTCTCTTGATAACAGGTAATCTAGATTTTCGTTCTAAGGGAAAAATGCTAAAGGCACTTACTGATCTTTTATTTTCTAAACCATGGTATGTCTTCTGATGATGACGATAGGTAATTGACTTTCCAAACCATTTATCTATTTTAAACTAATTAAATGAATTATAAAAATATTTATAGTATTAGTCTAACTTTATTTTCTTATTTCTAGCTCTGGTCCCAGCTGTGGTCGTGATTGGAATATTTCTCCTGATAACAGCAATAAGTAATTAATGCTTTTTTTTGATCAAATTTGATCTAAAAAAAAGGTAGATTATAAGAGACACTTACTAACCTGACTTGTTTCTTATTTACTAGCCCTGGTTATAACTGTGGTCGTATCCGTAGTATGTCTCCTGAAAATAATAGTAGTAATGGGTAATTAATCTTTCTAGACTACATTTAAATCCATTCGAAAAAAAAATTATGAAAAGTATTTACTGTACTAACCTAACTCATTTTTTATTTTCTAGCTTTGGTCGTGGCCGTGACATGTCTCCCAAGAATAAGGATAGCAATAGGTAATTTAATACTTTCCAACTATCTAAATTTAGTCTGAGAGAAAAGTGTAAAAGCATTTACTAATCTGACTTCATTTATTTTTTACTAGCCGTGGTCGTGGTCGTGGCCGTGGTCGTGGTCGTGGCCGTGGTCGTGGTCGTGGCCGTGGTCGTGGTCGTGGCCGTGGCCGTGGTTTATCTCCCGAAAATGATAATAGTAATGGGTAATTTATTTTTTATTTTTCTAGTCTATTTCATCAAATCTAGTCAAAAAAAAAAAAAATTAAAATTAAAATAAAAAAGAGAATTGAAGAGATTTATTGGTTCTTATTTTTTAGCCGTGGTATGTCTTCTGTTAGCAATAGGTAAAGTAATATCTAATTAATCATAATTTTTTTTATTTAAATATGATATAGAAAAAGGATTCATTAGCATTATTTTTTTTCTGCTTTCTAGCCCTCGTCATAACCGTGGTAGGTCCCTTGAGAGCAACAGTAGCAATAGGTAAATTAATGCCTAATTATTTCGCTTAAATGTAATCTAAAAGAAATTATAAAAGGATTCACTAACATTATTCTGTTTTATATTTTCTAGCCCTGGTCGTAGCCGTGGTCACAGCCGTGGTATGTCCCTTGAGAGTAACAGTAGCAATAGGTAAATTAATACCCAATTTTTTCACTTAAATTTAGTTTAAAAGAAATTATGAAAGGATTCACTAACATTATTCTGTTTTTTATTTTTTAGCCCTGGTCATAACCGTGATCATAGCCATAGTAGGTCCCTTGAGAATAACAGTAGCAATAGGTAAATTAATACACAATTCTTTCACTTAATTTACTCTAAAAGAAATTATAATAGAATTCACTAACATTATTCGGTTTTTTATTTTCTAGCCCTGGTTGTAACCGTTACCACAGCCATGGTATGTTCCTTGAGAGTAATAGTAGCAATAGGTAAATTAATACACTTAAATTTAGTCTAAAAGAAATTATAAAAGGATTCACTACATTATTCTGTTTTTTTTTTTATTTTCTAGCCCTGGTCGTAATCGTGATCATAGCCGTAGTAGGTCCCCTGATAGTAACAGCAGCAATAGGTAAATTAATGTCGCGGCTGAAGCTTGAAACGGTTGAAGCTTTAAATCAGGGATCTTGATTTAGGAATATAAACCCTACCAAAAATCACTTATCTTTTATTATTAAAAAAAGCTAAAAAAATGCATCCAAAAATTTTTGAAAATTTCATATTAAAATAATTAAAATTTCAAGCTTCAGCCGTTTCAAGCTTCAGCCGCGACAATTAATACACAATTCTTTTACTTAATTTAGTCTAAAAGAAATTATAAAAGAATTCACTAACATTATTCTGTTTTTTACTTCTAGCCCTGGTCGTAATCGTGGTCACAGCCGTGGTATGTTCCTTGAGAGTAACAGTAGCAATAGGTAAATTGATACCCAATTCTTTCAATTAAATTTAGTTTAAAAGAAATTATAAAAGATTCACTAACATTATTTTGTTTTCTACTTTATAGCCCTGGTTGTAATCGTGGTCACAGTCGTGATATGTCTCCTGAGAGTAACCACAGCAATAGGTAAATTAATATCTAATTATTTCACTTAAATTTAATTTACTAATCTTATTTCTTTTTTTTTTTTTAGCCCTGGTTATAGCCATGATATTTCTCCTGAAAATGATAATAGTAATAGGTAATTAATAATTTCTAAATCATTTAAGCCTATTCCAAGAGAAAATATAAAGGCATTTACTAACCCTTTTTTTTTTATTTTCTAGTCCCGGTTGTGAATTCCCTGATAATAGTACTAGGTGATTAATACTTTTTTAGATTAATTTAGTTTATAATAATGGTATAAAAAAAAATTACTAAGCTAATTTATGTCTTATTTTATTTAGTCACGGTTATAAACGTGGTTTCTCAGATAGTAATAATAATAGCAGGTATTGTAATCAAAATTAAATATTGAGATTATAATGTTAGCAAATTATTTAGCCATGGAAATGCCTATTATTTCAACTTTACTATCTCATAAAAAAGTAACGTTATATTCATGTTTTAGAGTGTATTAAATTGGGCCCATAAGAATAGTAAAAAGAATTTAATAGACTAAAAAGTTCTATGAATTGCTATACAGTGCTGATCACAATACCTCATGCAAAGTATTTCTAGAATATTGGGGATATATCCTATATAAAACTTATTACATGAAAAATTATCAAGTATAATACTTCAGGTATTATACAAGTGGAGTACCGTAGTTAGCATTGTATAGTAAATTGTATTATAATTTATTATTTATAAGAACATTTTATTAAATTGTATACTGTATGTTTTTTTATAGGAGCAAATGCAAAAAGAAAAATACTTTAAAACTGAGCAATATTACTCTTCATTTTTTGCCACCTTATACGACGGCACACCTACAACCTATGGATGCTGGAATCATTAATAATTTTAAAGTATGCGGGGTTTATATTTTTATCTGAGTTTTTTTTTTTATAATCTATTTTTAACAATGATTATTTTATAGCTGAAATATAAAAAATTATATGCCCAAGAATTAATTAGAAAATTCGAATGTAATGAAGAAGATAAGTAAGTTAAATTAATAAATTAAATTAAATTGAAATTTTACTTATTAATTTCAATTATTAGAAAATTAAATGTTTTAGAAGCAATTAATTTTATCGGAGGTGCATGGAATAGTGTTACACAACAAACAATTCAAAATTGTTGGAAAAAAACAGGTATTTTGCCTGATTCTGAACCATCAATTATTGAAACGGCAATAGAAGAACAACGGAATTTAGAAGAAAATGATATAGAGAATTTACAACAGGTTTTAAGTTTAGAAACTGCTATAAATATAAGTGGGCTTGCTACTTATATTAATGATAATGAAATTGTTCCAACAGAAGAGTTTTTAGATGATGAACAAATTATTGATCTTGCAACTCAATCTGCAGAATTTGATAGTAGTTCAGGTGACGAAGAACTAGTTTTAATAAGTCATAAAGAGGGATTAAATGCTTTAACTACTTTTATTGATTATTTTAAACAACAAGCGGATGCAGAATTTAAAGTTGAAGATTTGTATACTTTAAAAAAATATAATAATATTGTTAGAAAAAAATATTCGAAAAATATGAAACAAAAAACTATAGAAAATTTTTTTTAAAGCTATAGTTTTATATTAATAAATATATTTTTTGGCAATATTAAACTATATAAAATTAATTTTTAATATAAAATTTACAAATTTAAAAAATTTTTTTATAGTCACACCCTCATTATAATCACATTTTTTGGGGGGCCCAAAGGTGTGACTATAGCGAGGGCTGACTGTATTATTTTGAACATCTGCGCATTATTCCAGATATACACATAGGCGTTATTTTGATTAACATAGCAATAAAGTGCGAACTTTTTGTTGCATTAGTCAATTTTGACTAATATATTGAGATTATAATCGTCACAGAAGTATTTTAAAAAACACGTACAGAAATGCACATTATTTCAGGACGCGTATGGCCGTTATTTTAAAATCATGAAGGTTTGATTTTTGAAATAATGCCTATGCCCAATATTTCAAGATTTAAAATAGATAAATTCAAGAAATAAT